GGGGGGTAGTGAGAAAACCGGTCGACGGAGGACGATGATGTACAAGGCGTATGTGACGTCGCCGGTGATGTATATATGTATGGGGCGTCGGGGTTGTCGGTATCGGGGCCGGGAGGTCGGTCAGCGGTTCGCGAGATGGATTGATGGTGACGTAGATCCGACGCACGGCGGACGGAGCAGCCGGTGCAATGATGGTGGGTGGCGGCGGGGGAGGGGTGGTGTGGTTGTGCGCGGCGCGCAATGACGCGCAAGTTAAGAAGGCTGAGAGGGGCACTGCTGCAGTCTCTCGGTGGCCGTCTGTCCGGGTGGAGAGGGGAGGTCTGATGGGACGCGCACCTCCAAGCTCGTATCTCGTCGTCCTCGTATCTCTTATGTGGTCATGGGAAGAGGCAAGGCTCTGGAAAGGGTGCGGGCTGGTAGATGATCGCACCGTCGTCGACGACGATGAGATTGGAGAGTGGGTGCTGCAGAGAGAGGAGGACAGGGAGGAGAGGAAAAGGAAGAGCCGTTGGGTGAGGAAGAGATGGGCAAGAAAAAAAAACCGATTTAAAAAATAAAAAATAAAAAATAAAAAAAAGAGAGAGACGGGGATAGAGAAACGTCAAAAGGGAAAAATGGGGCGTCGTCTGTCTGTAATAATATGTTGTATCTGCTGCGTCTGTCGACGTCGTACTCGGTATTGCGACTCCCTTGATTGCGTCTTCTACTATCTCTCCTCGTTCTCCAATCTCTCTCCCTCCCTCCCTCTCTCTCTCTCCTCTCTCTCGTCGGACGCTGTAATACCACGGGTACCTCCCGGAGCGTCAGCAGGGGGACGGGCGATAGCGGGCAGGTGCTGGGGCAGGTGCTGGGGCAGGTGCTGGGGCAGGTGCTGGGGCAGGTGCTGGGGCAGGTGCTGGGGCAGGTGCTGGGGCAGGTACTTGGGGGCGGGCGGCTAATAGGGCTGGCTTGGCTGCGCCGGTGCTGCTGCTGATCACTACTGAAGGTTGCAATCGGCCAGCGGGCGGTTGCTAGCATCGATGGAACGTGAACCTTCCTCGGCTTCTGAAGCAAAGACCCAGAGATGATCGGAAATGACTAGTCGAAATATGGAGGCGGAGATGCGATTGTGCGAGACGAGAAAGAAGAGGAAGGAGGGAAATGAGGATGAGATCTTGGAGATTACGGCAGAGGGTAAGACAGGGTGAGCGGGGAGGGGGGAGATGATAAAGAAGAAGGAAGAACGGGTTTGAGAGTGAAGGGCTCGGTCTTGCTTGATGACTCGCGGGGTCGGTCCATGGCACGTTGCAATCCAAAGCTCCAGTAACGGAGGCGTATTGATACTAATAATAATACCCGGTAGCGATACTTGCAGCATGACCATACATGTACGCAGTCAACCCGTACTCGTACCTACGGTACCGGAGTACTCACTGTCGATATCAACACGACCTCTGCACAGAGAGAGAGAGAGAGAGAGCTCTAATAATACATCGGGACTGACAGGAATAAACCCTCGAAGGAGAAGAAAAAAAGAGGACTCGACCGTAGGATGTCAATGTCAGAGAGATTCCGTCTCTGATGCTCTTGGCAAGCTTTCCAACTGCTCCTCAAACATGATACATCACCCCCAATCATGCCAGACCATGGCTAATTCCATACAGAGGAGGGAGAGAAAAGTATTCTCGTATACGAGACACGTCTATTTTAGCCACTACAAGTGTCGTTGCTGTGCAGTGATATGGCTGCTGCTATTATTACCAGCGATACTACGGATTACTACCTGCAAGTTACGGGAAGTACGGACCCTACAGGCCACGAACACTGCTGCTACTGCTAATAATACCCGTACAGCTGCCGCTCGCGATGCCTACCACCTGCAAGTAAATCTGTACATGTGTACAGAGTACGGTTTACAGGCCTACAGGCCCACAGGCTCGCAGGCCTACAGGCTGCTGCTGCCGCTATCAGCTACTTAGTTACTTGGTATCGCTGCTGTGATGGTCTGTAGGGCCCCACCATCCTGTACTGCTACGCAGACGGATCACTATGATGGACGCTAGCAGTGACTATTAATACCCCGAGTCAGCTCCAATTCCTGGCCATCGCCTCGTCTTCCAGGCCCATCACGCCAAGTGCACATGGTCATTAGACATGTAATGACTGGATGATACTGCCGCCCTAATCTGTGCAGATTCTATCACGTCCACTTCGTACAATCCATGTTGATGGTGCTGATCATCGCTCAGAGAGTCAAGAGTCGATACTACCGGGGCTCATCACCCGAGCCATCCATTCATCCACGTCCTCCCCTCCCCCAAAAAAAGTCCTGATCCGTCCTAGCTCATCCCAGCCCACCGGCCCTTCCCACTTCCGGATCGTCCGCATTCGGTATCCCGCCGCACAGTCACCATGTTGTAAATTACCGTAATAAAACTCCATCGCAGCGTTGCCAGCACAATGCAGAGTCGAGTGAGTACAGATTACTTTACCTGCGCAGCTCCTGAGACGAAGTGATACCCAAGGCGCTCGTTGCCGGCACATCACTCTGCTATCGCTACGAGAGCTCCGCACATGTAATCTGCACCGCGCAGGTTGGTGTTATCGTTATGCAGGTAGTAATCCTATCGTAACATTGCCGGCTCTCATCAATTCCTGCCCCGTCGCACACGAGTGCGGCACAACATCATCCCAGCACCTCGAAACCGGTCAGTCGGCCTGTATAGCAGGAAGCATTCCTCACATCTGTTGGCAATGCTAAGTAATGATGCCATCCACGATCTCGTCCCACCGTTGCTCGATAACATCACTCGTACAAGAGTATATGCATCATACGTATATTGTATTATATTGTATACAACATGATATATATATCTATATACATAATCTGTATATGGTAAATCCGCGCCCACGCCATGCCATGTTCTGCCCCCACAACTTCTCAGCTGGCGCTGTAAATTTTACTGTCGCATATGATGGCATGTGATAGCAAAAGTACGAGTAGAACAAGGTAGGGAAAAAAATTGAGAAGACTCGCAAAGTCGGATCTACAGAAATATTTGGAAAAGAAAAAGGAAAAAAAAAACTTGGATAAAAAATAAAAAAAAGATCGAGTACATGGAGAGCTAATAGAAGCCACAACGATGGGGGGAACGCACGTCGACATTTCCCTCATAGGCGACAGACGTACGCATGCGGCAGTCCTGGATAGAGTTTGGCCGTTGCCGTTCCTGACCGGCAGAGGGCAGGATCAGCCCTCGACTCCGTTGTCGGCCAGGACACGACGCGGGTAGCAGCACTGCAGACGACCGTTGCTTCACGCGCCCGCAAGACTGGCCAGCTCGGCAGGCGTGAGTCCATGCACCGTGTCCCTGTCGATGATGTCCCCGTGCTCCCGCAGCCGACACGGCGGACACTGCATCTTGACGCCCGTGCTGAAGTAGAGCACGGCGATGTCCCAGTCGCCCTGCACCTCGCCGTCCCAGTACCTGCTCCGCAGCGCGTCGGCCCGGGCCCTCCAGTGGCTCCTCCTCCGCGGCAGGTACCTCACGCAGTCGACGCACAGGCTGCGCGTGCGGTCCACGTGGCCCCGGGCGTTCCGGGGCCGAATCTGCCGCAGGACCGTCTCGAGCTGCCCGCAGCGACACTCGGGGTTGAGCGAGTCCAGATCAGTGTACTGCCACGAAGGGTCGGCGCTCCACGGCGCCCGATGCGCCACGGGATCCGGCGTCGGCAGGTTGCGCAGCCGCGATATACCGAGGGCTGTCTTGCACGTCAGTGCGAGGGAGGTGGCGTCTGGCAGGGCGGCCTGGACGGATATGTGCATCTGGAGCTCCGGCGGTAGGGAGAGCAGCAGGGAAGATTGGCGTGTTCCCTCTAGGTTCATCTTGGGGATGGGGGCACGATGTCAGTCGGTCTAGATGACGGATCAAAACGTCGTTTACTCTCTCTCTCTCCCTCTCTCTCTCTCTCCATCTTTCTTCTTCCTCTTTCACTTACTCCCAGGGGCACCTTGAACGGTATAAGATGTCGGCATTGATGGGGCGCGGTGTCTCGCTTGGACGTATGCATGGCGCTGCCCGTCTGTCCTTCTCCCAAGTATCCTGGACGTGCAGGCTATGCGAGCGCCGCATAGGAGACGGATTCGGGAGGTGATATTCCTTTCTGATGATGGGCATCTACTTCCCATCTGTTCCCGTCACGGATCAGCGGTGCGGAGCATCTAGCATGGACGTGGGGTCATGGCAGCCGTCAAACCCAGAGCCCCATCTATCCGCACGCGATCCGGAAGTTGTCGATGTGAGCTTCCAGTCCCATAAGCCAGTAATGCTAACCCCCGGCATCGAGCGTCACAGACGATGAGGAGAGAAGCTTCGAGCACGGGAATGAAAGTAGGCGATGAAATGGTGTCGATGGGGGTGGATGAGTAATAACTGTGCTGCGGAAAGAGCGGGGCCAATTTATCCCCCTGCACCTTCCCACGCTAAGCACACAACGTTGGGCCTCGTCCCCGCGACGCGTCCAGACGCGTCAGAGTCCTCAGACTTTCGACGAACAAACCAACGTCAGGGATACGCATCTCGACCAAGGTCGACCACCCACAATTTCTCTGCCCGCCTCTCCTCTGCCCACTCTCTCCTTTCCTGCTCTGCGTCTTGGCAATCGGAAGAACACAGACACATACACCTCCGCCATCATGCTGCGTCAAGGCCACGATCGGATCGACCCCAAGAGGCGCAATGTCGTCGACCACCGCAAGAAGCAGTTTGCTACGCCCCAGTACAAGAATGCCGATTACCCTCATCGCCTCAACTTTTACACGGATGCGCCCACGGCCGACATCACGCTAGAGCAGTTTGAGCAGTGGGCCATCGACCGATTAAGGGGTATTGTTTCTCTCTCTCTCTCTCTCTCTCTCTCTCTCTCTCTCTCTCTCTCTCTCTCCTTTTCTCTGCTCTCCTTTTCCCTGCTCTCCTTTTCCCTGCTCTCCTTTTCTCTGCTCTTTTGAGACGTCTCTTTGAGATGCCTCCTCGAATATCCGGAACCTCCTGACTGGTCCGATCTGACTTGATCCCGTTACACAGTCCTCGGCGAGTTGGAAGCATGCTCATTTCGCAACCGGACCCCCGCCGAGACGACGGCGCACATGAAGCCTATACTGGACAAGTACCTGCCGCTCGACTCCAACAGCTCCGGGTCGGGCAAGCTGTGGGCGCAGAGGCAGAAGGACCACTATAGCCACTTCATCCTCCGACTGGCCTTCTCGTCGACCGAGGACCTGCGACGGCGCTTCAGCCGCGTCGAGACGATGCTGTTCCGCATGCGCTTCGGCAGCGACGACTTGTCGGAGCGGTCCGTCTTCGTGTCCAGGCTCAACCTCGACTGGTGGGATCCCGTGACGGACGACGAGAAGGCCGAGCTGGCCGACCAGCTTGCCGCCATGCAGCCCCCGCGCAAGACGATCGAGGACGACACGTGGTTCAAGGTGGACTGGATGAGGGTACCCGACCTGGTCGAGGGCCGACGCGTGCTCCTGCGCCACGGCAAGGCCTACGTCCCGGGCAGGGAGCAGGCCAGCATGGTTGTGGCCGAGTTCACGTCGCGACTTGACAGGCAGCTGGAGGTAACCGCCCTTCACCATCCTATATCGATATAGGAAGATGGACGAGGAAAAAAGAAAGAAAGAAAAAAAGAAGAAACACTCTGGCTTGTTATGACATTGGCTGACCGAACCCCCCCCCCCTCCCCCCCAGCTCACCGCCCGGGCACTCCCCCGACTGGACGAAGACGACAGGCTGACGCCGATACTGGCGCACCTGTCCAAGAACTTCGTGACGCCTGACGCGTCGTACGCGTCCAACACGGGGGCTCCCGACGGCGCCGTCATGACGGCAGCCAACGTTGACAAGCTGTCGCAGCACTTCCCGGCGTGCATGTCTCACCTGCACCGGTCCCTCCGGCGCGACGCGCACCTCAAGCACTACGGCCGGCTGCAGTACACCCTCTTCCTCAAGGGCATGGGCCTCAACCTGGAGGAGTGCCTGGCCTTCTGGCGCGGCGCCTTCCACAAGGTCACGGACGACACCTTCAACAAGGAGTACCGGTACAACGTGCGTCACGCGTACGGCGACGTCGGCGGCGACGCCAACCGCCGCGGCGGCGGCTACTCTCCCTTTTCCTGCCAGAAGATCCTCACCGAGCACCCGCCCGGCGCCGGGGAGGCTCACGGCTGCCCCTACAGACATTTCAATATGGAGAACCTCACGGCCCTGGTCCAGGGAATGGGCGTGTCGGATAAGGCTGTCATTCAGGGTATAAAGGATGACAAGGATAATGTCAAGTTTAATATGGCTTGTAATCGGTGAGTTTCTACTCTTGCCCTCTATCTCTCTCTCTCTCTCTACTCTTTTACCAACCTATCAAACAGCGTCTTCGAACACATTCACAAGAAGGAGATAAAAAAGGCAAGAGACGAAGGAATCATGACGTCAAACCAACTAGAAACCATCATTCACCCCAACGAATACTTCAAGAGGAGCTATCTCCTCAAGAATCTCGGTGATGGCAAGACAGACGATTGATCTTGTCTACTCTACCACTCACTCTACCCACGTTATCCCTCATGCCTTCATTTTCTTTCTCTTTTTCTTTCTTCACGTCCCCCCTCTTTACTCTGGCTTCACCCGTCTACGATGCTCTGTTCCAGGATAATACTCGCGTACGGAGTTGGTTTCGTCTTTCTATCCCTCTGCTTTTGACTGTCAAGATATGCATCACGTCCACAACAATACATGTACACACGTTTTCACTCTCAGTCTATCACGCGCCGCCGGCGGCCCTGCCGGGTGCCCTTCTCGCTTCTCTCGCATGTACTTTTGCCGTGATGAATCGTATATCATACATACCATTGTAAGATGTAAATAAGGCAATCAACGTCTCTTTCAATATATATATATATATATATACATATATATATACGTATACATATATGTTATTATTATTATTATTACACGTGGTTTCTTTTTATATATAGTCTACCATTTCACCTCCGGCCACCCCTGTCGGAAGAAGGCCTCCTCGGTCCGCTCGCATCCGCCTTACCATGCTGTGTCTGTGGTCGTACGATGAACCATCCTATCCTCCCCGTTTTCTACGTGTAACAGCCCAACCCCAACCCTCCCTTCTCAAACTACTAAGCCGTACATGCCAGCCCTCGTACCTGAGCCCAGACCCAGCCCTATACGGAATCTACAGTACAGACCGCCGCCCCCCCCCCC